ATATTCTCAAGTAAACAATACATACAAGTACAGTACAGTATTTTCTGAGGAAACACTCGTACTTATTTTTTTTAACCCCATTCCCGATAACCCGGCATTTTCACAAACTCGGCCACCCTTCGGTCCACATTAGGCCGAGTTTTCGAGGTTCTACTGTATTTCTTTAGATGTCCTGTCAATAAATTAGCTATCCTGCCAATAAATTAGATATTCATGATACAGATTGATGAACAGATTAGTAATATACAAGTTATTTAATTTTTACAACAGGTATGTGGATGAATGTATTATAATATTTGACAAAAGAAAAACAAATGAAAATTTAATATTAGAACAAGCTAACCAAATAAAAAAAAATATCAAATTTGAAATTGGAATAGAAAGACAGAATAGTATTAACTATTTAGATATAACAATAGAAAGAAAGGAAGATAAATTAATATATAAAAAAATATGTAAAGCCTATGCAGATTCTTAAAGTAATTAATTATATATCTATCATTCCAATAAGCTTGAAATATATTTAAAATGTATATGGATAAAATAAAAGGCAAAACAAGTGAAATAGAAACTCAGAAACAGGAAAAAGTAGAAATAATTAAAATGTTTATACTAAATGATTACCCAAAAATCTTATTGGAAAAATGGACATGAAAATTAGAAAAAGATGAACAACAAAAAAAAAAAACTATTGGATAAAGAAAAACAATTTGTAAAAGTAATGTATATACCAAAGTTATTTGAGAGAATTAAAAAAGTAATAGAAAGTAAAATAAATTTAATACCAGAAAAAATAAACTCGACTAAAAAATATCTTTATTATAGAAATAATAAAAAATACAAAATAACTGAAGAAAAAGGTATAGTATATTCGTTTGATTGCAGTTGCAAACAAAAGTAAACATATATTGGGGAAACAAAAAGAAAACTAAAAATACACATAAAAGAACGTATTTGCACCATCAAAGGTAATTATGCAAATTCAGCAGTAGCAGAACATTGCAATATAACAAGATGTGAAATAGATATGAGCACTATAAAAATAAAGAAATAATTTTAAAAGACAATTATATGAACACATCCACATAGTAAGACAAAAAAAAAATAGAGTAAACAGGAAGGGAAATACACCAATCATGGAACAGAATCATTAACAGAGGGAATGAGGGGTAAAGATATAAAAAGAGAAATAACCTTGGGGTAAGATAATGTTCAAGTTATAGTGGGAGAACAATAATGTAAGTTTTAAAAAATGTTTAAACCAAATTTTATCAATGTAACTTATTTGACTTATTGTTATTGTTTACAGCAGGGCTTCTTAAACTTTTTTTATTCACGACCCCATTTATAATTGTGATTTTTTTTGCAACCCAAAAAATATAAAATAAAGATATATACAAATTTGCAAAAACAATAATGGTGTACTACCACAGTTCACTCTTATGTTACAATGGAACAGAGACAACTGAATACACCAAAAAGCGACAACACTACACTAGTTCACCCTACAATCAGTGTTGCTGAATCATTGTCTTGCTGCACCAGAAGTGACACAAAGTGCAACTCATGAAACCTATGACACAAAGCATGCCATTTTCAAACTCTCACAAATTATTTTCAATATTTTGCATTAAAATCTCACAACCCCAAGATTTCACTAAGCGACTCCAAATGGGATCACGACCATGGTTTAAGAAACCCTGGTTTACAGGTATATGATTAGATTTAAGTGATTTATAGTCTTAAATATTGATGTATTTAAAGAAGTATTTATGAATCAAAAACTAAGTTGTATTTTATTTTACTTTATTGTCGGGAATTTTATAATTTTGTAATATTTTTATAATTTGTTTTAGAAATATTTGGTTGTAAACCTGCTAATGAGAGACCAACAGGTCCAAAACACAATGATATCGTGTAACATATGTTCAGGTGAAAAATAAAGACTGTTGTTTTCTAAATTGTTTTCTTAATTTGCAGAACCAGGTCACCGGTATAATAAGTCCTAGTAATAAATAAGCCTTTGTGGACAATTTAAGTACAAAGCTATAAGATAAGGACACAAAGGCATAAACTTTGATACATAATAATTTTAATAATCTACAATTAAATGGCCTATCACCATATGAAAAAATAATTTAGAAAATAGTGTTTCAAATGTGTTTGTTGATCTGAAAATTTTTGCAACATTGTCAGTGTCAGTAACAAGTTCAGAAAGGAACTTTTCAAAATTAAAACTTATAAAATATACTCTTGCTCTACAATGGCTCAAGAATGACTCACTAGTATAGCAATATCATCTTTAGAGCACCAAACTGTATCTATGATTGATATAGATAAATTACAGTAATTCAAAACTTTGCCGAAACAAAAAGCCCGAAAAATTAATTTCATAATTTTTGTATTTAAGATGCAATAATTATTTTCCTATACAGACATTAAGTGTAATCATACATTGTATAGAAATGTATTAGTGCTAATTGTTAAAAGTTTTTTAAAATGTTCATTATGATATTATTTTCATAATTATCAACATGTGTGGGTATGTATTTGCTTGTGTATGATGATATAAGGATTAGAGGATTTGATCCCGGGATCCCGACCACTTTTCAGTCCCAAAATTTTTGGGATTAAGTTTTCCTAATTTCAAGATTTTCGGGATTGATATCATTTTAAAAATAGTTGCAAAATAGACTGCATGGAGCGAAACTTTCAGTGCCAGTGCTTTTAACAGAATTGCTTGCCTATCATTTTAATATAAAATACAAGAAATTTTATTCCAAGCAAGCAGCAGAAATTAACCTAGTGGGCTTGCGATGCTTGCTTGGAATAAAACTTCTTGTATTTTCAACTAAAATGATAGGCAAGCAGTTCTCACTGGGTTACTTGGTAATTCGCGGGCGCCAATCGATTTTCTGGCGCAGTCGAGAGCACTACTCAGTGCGTTTTACCTGTCAATGTGTCAGCCATCTTGTTTTGCCAGTGTGGTTAATATAGACCCGACGCCTCTCGCTTAGGGGGGTCGACCTTAGGTGAAAAGGTTATGACCCTCGCCTTGCCCGCGATCTGTCAGGATGATGCGAGAAAGTCTTTTTACGTTTCGGGGTAGTGGTTTGCTGGACGCTGAGAGACTCACACAGAGACCGAATTTACAAAATTAACGCGTTTATTTTTTGAAAAACATGCTTACAATGATCGAAACAATCGGGATTGTAGCCTTTACTCCTACAATCCCGATCGTGTCGACCGGACTGTTTTCTTCCATCCTCCCCGTGTCCTCGAAGCTTATAAGTATTTACTAATGATTCCTCCAACTTCCATCAAACCTAAACGCGTTTTCTCTGCAACTGCATATATGTGCAACAAATTGAGAAGCAGACTTGGTGATGAGACACTGGATGCGTTGTTATTTCTCAGATAATATTTTCGCAATTCAAATTAGAATGTTCCTATTAGATTAGTTTTCTTTATATTTAAGAAAAATGTGACTGATTAATATTATTTTTAAATACATTTTGCTAAGAAACTTACTTTACTACCTACTTACTAGGTTGTTACATGAAAGTAGTCTATTTAGTCGATGTTAAGAGAGATTTTTGTTAATTTTCAACGTTTTTTTGCATAGTTTGTTACATAAAGGTTTTTTCAATTTATGTGAGTTTAAAGAGATCTCAGTGATGCTTAAAAAAAAATAAATTTAACATGAAGACAGTGATTTTAAATCTGGTTAGTCTGACTGTAAGTCTGATTAGTTAGAGTGATTAAATTAATTAGGTGTATACCATAAAATACGTTGATTTTTGTCTAAATTTTGATTTTTGATTTCTGTAAGATTTTCTTATTTTTTATTAACCCTCAATACCGAAATAATCCCGGGATCGAATAAGTATAATCCCGAAATCCCAGGATCGAATTCCCTAATAAGGATATAATGATATAAGGCAGCTCAATATATAGATAATATATTGAGTTGCTTAAATTTTTATTTACTTAGGGGCATCAGATGATCTTGTACAGGTCTTGCAAATTTGGATTCATTTTACTGCTGGATGCTCTTCCTGCAGTCAATTCTCTCATTTTTCATATCTGAACTTGAGAATGGCCAACACCACCAAATACTGGGTAAGGCTTGATAACAGTATCTGTTATTTCCATGTCATCTCCAACCAGAGTACTGCGTCATTAGTGTTACCACCCGTATGGTTTTCACTCAGACAGTCCGGGAATTGACTTGCTGTCTGGGTAAACTATTAATTTTGTCTGGGAATTTCGTAGAAATTGTGAAATTACAATGAAACAAAGTTCTTGCAAATATTTTTACAAATTTATACTATTTTAACGGCGAAAGAACTCACACTCACTGAAACTCATCTGCAATTCTTGTTTTTTGTCTCCTCCCCGATTTATATGAAGATTATAGCCTTTCTATGCTTTCCTCACCTGCAATTCTGCCATGTTAGTCTATTTATGCTGACGTGTGGCGTGCAGCACCTTTTTATTTATGACGATCATACACGTCTCAAATAGAGATAAATTTTCTGTACACTGTAACTGATTTACATGCACGTTATTCTTCGCGTTGCAAAATGACATTGCGCATGTGTCAGGAACTTCTGTTCAAACAAACCTGACCTCCTGTCCGGGTCAGCAATTTTGAAAAGGTGGCAACACTACGCGTTATGAACACCAAAATCAATGAAAGTACTTGAATTAATCTTATTGTATAGTTCTTTTCTAAGTTAGTATGTAAAAAAAAAAAACAAGACAAGATATTTATTATGTGATTAATAGCATATGGCGTGCATATAAAGACTTTTCAAATAGATCAAAATGTATGATCATAATTTGATTATAGCAAAATTAACATTTTGAATTTTAAATTTTTACTTCTTAATAATGCTTTTTACTTCTTAATAGTTTTAGATACTTTTAATTATACTATATGTCTAATCTCATGTCATGAATATTACATAAAACCTATTTAAATTTTATTTTCTTACCTGAGCAATCCCTGTTACAGAAATGGGAACACCCTGTTGAGTATAAACTTTTGGACTTTCTATTGATAAAGTCATTGTATTGAGGCTAATTCTACAAAATAATAATAATAAAATATTGATTAAATTCAAATTGAGTTTTTTTTATTTTAATGATGTTAAATGTAATAAAACTTAACATCCCAAAACTGTAGAAAATCAACTATCTAATTTTGGAACTTAACCATATTTTTTGTATTAGTTCTTTAAAAATAATTTTTTTATCTGACATTAAATATGTATTTTATACATAATTCTATTTTACTTTTTAACTCTTTTTCTCTGTGAGCACTAAGATGACCCTTTCTCATGCCCATTGTGAGTTCAGCCAAACCAAAAACGGAATGGATGCATGATGATCCATGATCCAACAAAGAGCTATCAAGAGAAGAGCTATGTAAATTTTTCCCTGGGCCCAGAGAAAACTTAAGGGCTCACAGTGGTCCCTACTCCTACAAATTAATGTTACTTTTAATAAGAAAAAAATAAAATAAGACTGCGTTTCTATTAATAAAGAAATATTCTACATATTTCATTTGTTCAAAAATAAATGGTAAAATGGATCTGGTTACCCCTGTTCCTATACAAGCTCTTGGCAGCTCTGTTCAACAAGATCCAATATATTTTGATAAAATCACCCATTTAAATTTCTGAGGAATTGAATCAGGCTGGAACTTGAACTCTTAAGAAGAACAAGTTGATGTGATTAATTCAGGCTATCACATAATTTTTACTTAAATTTTTTTCTTGATTAAGTAAAACATATCAAAATAAAACTTTTCAAAGATTTATTGCATTGGTTTGTCCCAACAAGGGTTATATGTGGTATCTAAAAAATTGTGATTTTAAAAAAATTTTCTTTTTTTATTCAAACACATTCATAATATTCTTCTTCTCAAACAATTTGGATTCCATTCACATTTGGTTGAAATTGGAATTAGACTTACCAGAAAAATTAATACAGAGTATGGCTATATTATGGTGAATAGAAAAGTCATGAAGGTATGTTTTGAATAAGTTATAAGGTACTAGATGTAATTTTTGATATAGAACATACAAGTTAGTAACAGCACTATATATTAGACATGTATTACAAAACTAATAAATTAAACACAAACATATACAGTATAAAATTAAACATGTATATACACTCATATAACTTATGTATAAAATGAACAAAACATATTAGTGTAAAACATTAATATAGTTATTAAAAAATTAATTACAGAGTATTATGGAAAAAGTTAATACATTTATTGAATAATTATAAATATTTTTGAAGATGGACTCAGATTTAAATCTTCATTTACAATACTGATCATTATAAAAAATAAGAATAATCTGATCATGAACTATGATGCATAGAAGATCCTCAAAAACTTGATCCTTATATACTAAAAAAAGCAGTTTTTAATTATTAAAACAAAAGTAAACTGGAAAATAATTCAAATACAGTAAAGCCTCGATTTAGTAGACAAAATTTCAGGTCTGTATGTCATATGTGAAAATTAACACCCTGTTAATTTTAAAACATATTTTACATGTAATTAAATTAACATGTGTTTTTTCCTCAAATCTACGAGTCACTGCTCTTAACTTCACACCACAATGGGTGTCTCTTGGCAAATAAACATCCAAAGAATACTAAATAGCAGTGGCATGCAATCCATGAAAGGTGTGGAAGTGCTGCTTTCCTTGTATTTTCTAAAATATAAATACATATTGTGCTATCATTTTCATATTTTAACATACTTCGAATTAATTAAAATTAATATTTTATTATAACTGCATTATGTATCTTATTACAAATTTCTATACTACATGTATAAAACAATGATAAGATTGCAATTGTATATTTAAATATAAATTTGTATATGCTTATTCCCAATGGAAGCACTGTATTGTTGAATATGAGATAGCCTCCATGGCAAAAATATTTAAATCATATAAAGCAGCCAGATTATATGCATTCGCGCATGCATTTTACAGAGCACCAACCTCTCGCAGTTTAGCTGGTGGATGCTACACACCAAAATATCATATAATGCTTCCAATAATTCTATCCATTAGCCACTTATAGGAAGCTATTTGACTAAGTGGATTGTTTTAAAAAGTAAAGAATATTCAATATTATTTTTATGTACATTTCTTTACAAAGCTACATTTAATTATAATTATATTGACAAATTTTCAGACAAAATCTTTAGAATTTTTAACACTTTTAGATATTAATAATTTTAAATATTATGAAAAACAATTTTCCAAAGCAAGTTTTAATTCTTTAAGTAAATTTTATGGAGAATTTTTTGATTTATCTAAATTAAGTAGTGAATTGCAATATTTATATTTGTATCCAGACTATATTGGCAAGTCACTCTTAGACATAAAAAATATTATAATTAATAATGATCTGAACAAAGATGTACTAAAAGAAATATATGATTTATTATCATTAATTTTTATGGTTCCATCTATGAGTGCATCTGTTGAGTGCAGTTTTTCAACCATGAAGCAAATTCATACACTCAGCAAGGAACACTCAGTCAGAAAAAAGATTGTCGACACCAACATTGCTTTCAATAGAAAAAACTTTTAAATACTTTGATGGAATCAAAATATTTAAAAGCTCTTTTTCTATTGATTTTTATGATAAAGTAATTAACGACTTTGCAAGAAAAACAAATTGTTGAATAGTTTATAACAAATAATAAAAATAAGTTTTTTTATCTTTGTTTCATGTCAATGTATCTATTTTAGAATTAAAAAAAATAAATTGTTTATTTTTGTCATTTCCAGTGTTTATTTATGATTTTTATGAAAATACAGCTTCCTAATCATCAAATATCACTACAAGCCACTGCAAAATAGATAATGTTTTTTGTTTTTGTCAAATTTAAATCTTGTTTACTTTTTAAAAACATTAATTGTATTTAACTAAAAAAATAAATAAAGTGTTTTTTCCAAAACATGTTTGTGCATTTATTTCAATTTATATCATATATCATTACAGTCTTAGTACTACTGTGAATACTTAAGCAATAATACCACATATCAGTGGCATGCGATGACATTTGATGATAGGGAAGCTGTGTTTCCATAAAAATTATAAACAAATACTGGAAATGACAAAAATAAACAATTGTATCTATTTTAGAATTAAAATAAATAATTGACATGAAACAAAAATATAAGAACTTGCTTATGAAAATAATTGCACAATATGTATTTATACTTTAAAAAATACAAGGGAAGCAGCACTTCCACAATTTCCATGGATTGCACGCCACTGCCACATCATATAAAAAACTTTTCTCTGAAATTAAACTTCATACATACTTAATTTTAGACAAATGACAAATTAAAAGCAGATAAACTAACTGATTTGCCAATTTTTAAACACATGCATTATGAATACCTACTTTACTATAGGATGAATGCAGAAAGTCACAAAGAACTTTATAATAGGATGGATATATATGAAAAAAAATTTCTTACAAAAAATTATACAATGAAAACTTTAACTGTTTGGACACATCACAAGAATGAATGAAAACAGAAAAATAAAGACTCTAATCTATGGTATTATGAATGGTTCTAACAAAAGATGCAGACCATATAGAGAATGGATTGATGACGTGAAGAAGTGGTGTGGAGTGAATGTACAGAAATTGAGAAAATTGGCAATGGATAGAGAGTAATGGAAGAAAATAGTAGAAAAGGCATCAGACACCAATGGGCAATGATTCCAGGGTTAATAATGATGACTTTATTATATAATGAACTTTTGGCTTTAATGGACAACCCTCACCAAATTAGTCCATTAAATCAAGGTGTTACTGTACTTTTATGAGATTATTTTGTTGGTATTCTGAGTTAATACAGATAAGCATTAAACAACCAATAAAGAAACAATAAAACAATTATTTATTTTACACTTAGAAACTCAACATCATATAACGATACAAAAAATCCAACACTAGGGATTGTAACTTCCCTTTCCAAGATCTCCCAAATAAAAACTCACATTAACTATATCAATAACATATAATTTAACTATCTTATTACAACTGATATCCAAGTCTGTTCAAGTGCTGTGGATCCTGTTGATTTCCAACATAATTCAACACTGCCTCAAACTCATCATATAATAACAAGAAACTTCTTATTCAAATTAACATGGTAACCACTAATGTAAATAATCAGATCACTAACCTTAAACTAAAAATAGAAAGATTACAGATAAGACCTGGTAATGTAACCTTAAATTTAATACAATGAATAAAGTCATACATCAATTCTCTTCTCTTTTTCTAGATATGCTCTCCTTGGATTTTTTGATGTTCCTTTCCTTGTTGATTAATTCATAGAATTTGATCAAACTCCACATACACATTTCTTGAATTTTTCCTAACTTAATTAATGAACCAAACCTTTTCTTTCTCACACAGACAAAAATGCCCTCTTTTGTTTCACTCATCTCTCCTTTTATTTTTTTTCTCACATTCTGGCTCCTTTATTGGGGACTAAGTGACTATGAACTATGAATAGTGGGTATCAAAAAACAAGGACAGAAATAACACTATGTAGCCAAGAGGTTAGGACAAAGGTACTCAAAATAGAAATGAGTAGTGGAAAAACAATTAAATAGGTTTTGTATAAATACATATAAATAATCTAATAGATCCTTTTATGCAAGTACAGTATAAATAAATTAACCAACTGGCATATAGCCACACTTTCATTGATTTTTAATATCAGTGTCATGAAAATACAGAGAAATTTAATATAGAATGATTTAATGTAAATGAATAAAATATGCTTTTGAACTTTCAGTTATATTTTCATCAGATTTATAGTGTTAATAGTGTTATGAACTTACTTTTGTGCTCTTTGTAGAAAAGGCCATACAAATACTCTTCCTCCAGGTATAATTAATGGATTTATGTGACAGCATCCTTTAATAAATAAATAAATATAAATCATAAATTCAGCAACAGCTAGATCTAACAATTCTTATAAAACCATAAATAAATTATGAAAATTAATATCACATTTAGGCAAACATATAACAATTTTAGCTAATTACTAAAGTGAATTATATTAAATAATATTTATTAAAATAATATTAAATAAAAATTAAAATGTAATAATATAATAATAATAAAAATACCTATAACAATAGTCAAATACAGTGATACCTCGGTTTTCGTCAGTAATCCATCTGAAAACAATCAGCAAAATCTGAAACTGACGAAAACCGAGGCAATTATTTCCATATGAAACAATGTGATTCCAATTAATTCATTCTAGACCACAGGTTCTCAAACTTATTTTGACCACTGCCCACTTTGAGATTCAAAAAAAAAAAAAAAATCTATTGCCCCCATATCTTTTAACTTACCTTTTTATATTACCATCTGTTGCATATCTTAAAAATAATTATTGCAAATATAATGTTTAAACATGCATTATTATATGAATAGGATAGATAGAGTGTGACACATATCCTATTTCTGAGATCAAAGAATGTTTCAATGAGAAAAAATAAAAGTCATATGTAATCACTGAGCCTTCTACTGCCCCTGAAAGCCTCCAGCGCCCACAAGGGGCGTTATCGCTCACTTTGAGAAAGGATGTTCTAGACCAGGGCTTCTTAAACTATGGGTCATGACCCCATTTGGGGTTGCGGGATTTTAATGCAAAATATTGAAAATAATTTGTGAGAGTTTGAAAATGGCACGCTTTGTGTCATAGGTTTCGTGAGTTGCGCTTTATGCCACTTCTGGTGCAGCAAGACAATGATTCAGCAACACTGATTGTAGTGTGAACTAGTGTACCGGTAGTGTTGTCGCTTTTCAGTGTATTCAGTTGTCTCTGTTCTATTGTAACACAAGATTGAACTGTAGTAGTACACCATTATTGTTTTTGCAAATTTGTATATATCTTTATTTTATATTTTTTGGGTTGCAAAAAAATCAAAATCATAAATGGGGTCATGAATAAAAAGTTTAAGAAGCCCTGTTCTAGACACTCCATAATACATGCCAAAACACATTTTATAGAGAATTAATATAGTGTTAAATACTAAAAGCAATAAGAAATTAATATAAAAGACTAATTAGCATAACTAGATAAAATAACTAGCATTAAGATAAAATCAATGGAATTATTTGGCTAGACATCCAGGGTAATGTCTTGTCTTGTAGAAGCTAGTTGGACATGAAGTTCTAGCCTATATCGCCCCATGATGTAATTGTCATGTAATAGTAGTAGTTTGGAATGTACAGAAATTGAGAAAATTGGCAATGGATAGAGAGTAATGGAAGAAAATAGTAGAAAAGGCATCAGACACCAATGGGCAATGATTCCAGGGTTAATAATGATGACTTTATTATATAATGAACTTTTGGCTTTAATGGACAACCCTCACCAAATTAGTCCATTAAATCAAGGTGTTACTNATTTTTTGGCAAAAAAAAAAAATCGACAAAAACCAAAACCGATGAAAACCGAGGTATTACTGTAAATAGTTAAGGCCTCATTTTAAAAAGTGGTTAGGTTCCCAGCCCATTGTTCATAAAGTGAGTCATTTATAACTTAAGGAAAAATTGTAATATATTTAAATAAAATTTGTTCCTTTAGTAAAAGAAATCACTATGAAAATCACTATAATATTTCAATTTGAATAAATAATGATGGTTATTTTATAATTATTTTACACATATAATATTTATAAATAAAATGAGACAAAAGTTATACATTAAAAACATATTTCAAAACAGTGGCATAATGAAGAAGCATCAACGGATCTGGACCTAGATTGAGAGTAATTTATATAACACACTGAGGCTTTTCTAGCTAGGAACTGTAATATGTCTGTTGGACCTTTTTCTTTCCCTTCTCCAACATGTCATATGGTTTGTTATAGCTCTTTGGAAGAAAGAGCTGCATTTCCAGTTAGGATCATTATGCCAGTCAGGAGATTCACAAGCAGTTTGTATATGTGTGAATGCTTTTCAAGTGTTTTTCTGGTGAGAGAGAATTGAGAGCTTGTATAGAGCCTGGGATAGAGTGAGACCCTTTTGCCTTTTGGTGAGATCTTTAGCAGTTGTTTTTTTGAACAAATAAAATATGTAGGAAGTTTTTTTTATTAATGAAAAGCATCTTAAAGATTTTGTTCTATTAGCTGTCAGTAAAAATAATATTTTATAGGGGTTTTAATTTTATAGAAATCATTATAGGCCCCAAAGTTTTCTCCAGGCCTGGAGAAAAATCCCTAGTTCCCATCTTGACAGCCCTAAGTGATCACTGAGTAGTGCCATTTCCTGAATTTCTGTCCTCTTCACTGTTCTCTTTAGCAAGTTGTGCTGCCAGCTCTTCCAAATCTTTCTTTGAAAATTGCTCTTCATGTCTTTCTATCATTCACATCAATGTCAAACTTCCTAATGTCAACATTTTGACCAATCCAAACCAAGAAAAGTCAGAAACTGCATCAGGCCACAATTTCTACCAGAAGCTAACTTGACATTAATTTGAGAATTCAGATATGACTGTGACATTTTTTCCCAGACTGCTAAATACTTTTGCTCTTAAGAATATTGAAGGACTTCCAAAAATAGTTAATAGCTTTATCACCAAAATATCACCAACTTTGTTAAAAATTGCAATATTACAGTGCTGACATTATAGTTATGCTTTTACTTTTGTTTTTTGTCATGTTCTTGAATTTTTTGATATTAATTTAAAATGTTTGTTAATGTGAATCTTTGTAAAAAGGGGAAACATAATTCAAGGCTTTACTGTAATTATTTTTCTTTTCTATAAATAATTAATATTTTATTATATTTTATAAGTTTATATTTAAAATATAATGTTTGAAAATTATTAAGTTTTAGACTTCCATAAACAAACTTAATAAATAATTTTCTTTAGCAATATATCAGTTTTGTTTACAATCAACTAATGCTATTTGAATCCACAATAAATGAATTTCTTTACTAAATTTTAAAAATTTATTTCAGATCATAAAATTTATCATGATAGCAGAATTGGGATATTGTTTCGCATTGTCATCCATGCTGGCTGACCCCATTGCAAGTTGAGTCCATCCATAATGAACAAAACTGTAGCCAACCTTATTCTGCTAGTGATTTACATTATCAAACTATTCCATCAGTTATTTTCGATATTAGAATTACTAAAAGATTATTATTTTAAATAACAAATATAAAATATGCGCATATTTTTATTGCTTTACAGTCAATTTCACTAAAAATCACTCTTGTCATTTAAACTGTGCCAAGCCTTATTCTAAGGGTTTTTCCTACTGCACAAATATCAGTTTTGTTTTGGCCAAGCCAATAAATCCTAACATTAACAAGCTGTTCTAAAAAACATAAATGGAAGATAAGGAGAATAATACAAGTCTCATATCTGTTAATTATTTATTAATTTCAATTATTATTCAATCTTAATTGTTAGACATGCACAGTATGCACTGTACTCCTGCATGTGATATAATTTACTATATGATAAGTGCACTGTGGTTGTGGATTATAGTTCTAAATAATAATATTCATGTTGCAGCTGTATAAAAAATATCTTTTGTATATACTCAAAACAAATGGTAAATCCTACCAACATTCCTTCCATAGCTCTTTTTTGTGGCCCAAATAATATATACACTGTGTAACTTAGGTAAATATTTTAACTTTAATATAACTAGAAGAAAGAAATACATAAAAAAAACCAAGAATTAGACAATTAATTACTACGAAATTCAAAATTCCCATTGCACAGCAGCATGTTAGAATATGTGCTGCTGTGTGCAAACTGTATAATGTTCAATATGCATAATATGTCCCAAGTGCCTGATTATGATGATGATGATAATAAATTATTGAAAGTACTAATGTTAAATATATTTTAGCCAAAAATCTTTGTTTTTTTCTTCTTTGTTATTTGGCATTTATAAAATTGTGTATTTTTAGTAATCTGTGCAATATGCAAAAAGTTCTTCATTTAGTTAATATTATTACTTTCATTTTTTGATGTAAATTGATTACATAATTATTGTTAAGACAAAAAATAAAGCATTACCTTTCGTTTTCTTTTGTTCTTTTATTACTTAACTTTACTGACTAGCGGAACTTATTTACAACATTTCAAATTGACGNTAAACCCACGACCAAACTCCCAGCGTTCAGGGAATGGAACCATTGGCTAATGGTGGGCCATCGAGAATTAATGCCACAATGAGCTGGAAAATGCATGAATTGTCCTTTATTTTCGCAAAATTATCAGTGAGGTCACTTGAGCATGCCGACAAAATCCAAAGCAATCAACGAAAACTGAGAAAAATTTTTTGCAAAAAAAAAAAAAATCGACAAAAACCAAAACCGATGAAAACCGAGGTATTACTGTAAATAGTTAAGGCCTCATTTTAAAAAGTGGTTAGGTTCCCAGCCCATTGTTCATAAAGTGAGTCATTTATAACTTAAGGAAAAATTGTAATATATTTAAATAAAATTTGTTCCTTTAGTAAAAGAAATCACTATGAAAAGTTAATAATATTTCAATTTGAATAAATAATTATGGTTATTTTATAATTATTTTACACATATAATATTTATAAATAAAATGAGACAAAAGTTATACATTAAAAACATATTTCAAAACAGTGGCATAATGAAGAAGCATCAACGGATCTGGACCTAGATTGAGAGTAATTTATATAACACACTGAGGCTTTTCTAGCTAGGAACTGTAATATGTCTGTTGGACCTTTTTCTTTCCCTTCTCCAACATGTCATATGGTTTGTTATAGCTCTTTGGAAGAAAGAGCTGCATTTCCAGTTAGGATCATTATGCCAGTCAGGAGATTCACAAGCAGTTTGTATATGTGTGAATGCTTTTCAAGTGTTTTTCTGGTGAGAGAGAATTGAGAGCTTGTATA